AGCAAGCACCGGTATTTCTCAAGCACGGGCCACCATGGCCCTTACCACACTTCGGACATACATCAATAGGACCCATACCCCTAACACCTTGGGCCCTTGGAACATCATTGGCAAACCCCTTATGGAGCGCATGAGAAGACCCTTGACCTTGATGAAACCGGCCTCCCGTTCTACTTTGGAACTTGCCCTCAAAACGGGCCCTCTTGGCCTCATGACCCCTCTTCTTCCTCAACTTCTCCTCCTCCATTTGTTCGGCATAGACCATCAAGCGGGACAAGTCCATGTCACTAATCAACATTGCGGACCGGCATTCTTCACTCACTAGGTCGGACACACCCATCACGAATTTGTTCATCCTAGACCGTGAGTCGGCAACCAAATGTGGAGCATACCTTGAAAGTTGGTTAAACTTGAGAGCATACTCCCTCACACTCATAGACCCTTGTTTTAAATTCATGAACTCCACCAATTTGGCTTCCCTAAGCTCAAGAGGAAAGAATCGATTAAGGAAAGCCGTTTTGAACTCTTCCCAATGCACCACATAGTTTACCCCCTTCTCTTCCTTCCATTGGTTGTACCATATTTGGGCCACCCCTTTTAGTTGGTAGGCCGCCAACTCCGCCTTATCTTCTGACTTCACACCCATGATAGCTAATATCTTGAGGACTTCATCAATAAACTCTTGAGGGTCTTCATTTAACTTAGACCCATAGAATTCCGGGGGATTCATCCGCACGAAGTCTCTCACCCGAGATGCCGGGGTAGGAGCCTGAGGGGTTTGGGCCCCGTGGTTGGCTTGATTAGCCATAGCTTGTGCAAATAAAGTAAGGGCATCCCGAAGATCCCCATTGGTCGGTTGTTCCTCGGGTGCGCGGGCTCGTCTTCCTCTTGTATTAGGCATGATCTAGCATAGCAAAGAGCAACCGTTAGGGAAGAACTTAATTCAACTCTATAGCACGACTTAGAACAAGGAGAAGGGAAACATTTCCTAAAACGTCTCATAGCCTCCTACTCATAGTTGTGGTGCACAACACAACCATGAATCGGACTCTAATCAACGCGGTGTGTTGGACTCCGAGGATCTATCAACCTAGTGCTCTGATACCAAGTTTGTCACGACCCAAGCCTAGGGCCTAGACGTGACCGGCGAATGGGGAACCCGAAGGAACCCCAAACAAGCCTCATAGCGTATCATTACACATCCTTGGTCGCGGAAGCAATTAAAATGACCATAAGCCATAAGCATAATCAAAGGGGAAAATCGGGACTAAGGGAGCAAGAAAAAAAGAAGAAGAAGAAATGATACTTAAATACCATAGCTGAGTCAAGCTCAAGCATAATACACAACTTGTCCAACACCACCTCTAAACATAGGTACTTTAGCGGGGGCCAAGACAAACAACTGGGCTCACCCTCATAGTCAAAACATAACTAAAAGGAAAAGTCTTATACATAGCAAAAGATCATAAGCAACGTCCCCGGAATGGAGGACTCACCAATAACCTTGATAGAAAATCGTATTAGCCACGCGGAGGACGAGGGTCAAGCGGTGCTCCGGTCCCTACATGGTGACATCATGTAGGCATAGAGTATGCGTTAGTACGTTGAATGTACTAAGTATATGGGATGCAATGCAATGCAACAAGGGATGGACATCATAGGCAAAATGCATAATCGTACCCGATAGATAGCATATTAATGAGATGATATGTATAATGATGCTTATATAAAAATCATATTTAGTAGGGCATAGTATATGTGTAGTGAGTGACCATCAATATAGTATTTCCAAGGCCTACCACCCCCTTGGAGAGGCGAAAGAGGTACAAACCCCTCAATGTGGTTACCCGGGCCTACCACCCCCCGAGCTAGGGACCAAGGTACAAACCCCTCGATATGGTTATACGGGCCTACTACCCCCCGTACTAGGCAACCAAGGTACAAACCCCTCGATACGGTTATACGGGCCTACTACCCCCCGTACTAGGCAACCAAGGTACCAACCCTTGATACGGTTACCCGGGCCTACAACCCCCCGAGCTAGGCTTGATCGACTCACACACTATATAGAGAAAATCATATACATGTATCCATTTCATCATCATTTCAATACTTATATAATCATCCGACTCATAGGACGTACATTGGACCTTCCATTTCATAAGAATTCTATAAATGGCATTTTATCAAACATATGGTGGGCTACTTGTTCATGTAAATAAAATCATGTATTTTAAGAGTACTAAGTCCAACCAATTTCAAAATCTATATAAAACAGCCCACCAACAACATACATATATATATACATATATAACAACCTTCATAATTTGATCATGGAGGCATGAAAACCATAAACATCATATAATCATTCCTTTTCATGATAATATACAAAAATAGACCATAATAGGATGTGTAGTAATAATTCCATAATTCAAGAGTTCATAAATGATCATAAGGACCCATAAACTTGGAGTAAAATAGAGGATAAATGGTTGGACTTGTGGAAAGGAAGGTTTCCACAATCAAACCCACATACCTCAACTTTGGAGAATCCTTGATGAAGATTGGAATGGAGAATTGATGCTTGAGATTGAGTCTTGAATCCGGAATTAGAGTTTGAGATGTTTGAATTTGGTTGAAGATCTTGGTGGAATTTTGGAGAGGGTTTAGAGAGAGTTTTTGGATGTTTGAGAAATGTTTTAGAGACTTGGAATGAACTAATGATATATAGGGAATATCATATGCCCTTTTGGAAAAAAAATTGTCCAACACTTAGAAAAATTAATGGGGCGGGTGAACAGTGTTTCGGCTTACTGGAAATGGCACTTTTCTGCCGGCGAGGTTTTTACGAAAATGGTTATAACTCCTTCATCCTAACTCGGAATGAGGCGAAACAAATTGCGTTGGAAAGCTAACTCACAAAGCTTTAATTTTGATAGTTTGAGCTCCTTCCAGTTCCTTGTGTGCTGAGAGATATGCCCCTTTAAAGTTGACCCTCAAAATCGCATTTTTTGCGATTTTCGAATTTTGATACGGTTGTTCTAAAATTCGGGTTAGACTCATTTCCCACTCAATTTGACCCCCTGAATAAGAATATGAAGTCGAATTTCCGAAATGATGCACGGATTTTGAGATATATGGAAATTACAATTTTAGGTGTTTCCGAAGCACATTTTCGGGCATTTTTGGGGTCGTTTCAGTGTTGTAGGGCAAAAGTTCTTTGAGGTTGTCAGGATGGGAGAATTTATTGAAGAAGGTATTAAAACTGGGAGAATCACTAATTTGGCAGCCCTGCAGGCGACAAGTAAGGCAATTCAGTCGGATTCAATCGGAGGAGCCCTTAAGAAGAGGAAGGACGGTGTGTCTGCTGTCATGACCATCCAGGAACGTAGGCCAAACCAAATGTTAACCTACCAAAACCCATTACCCCAACCTTCATACTATAGTCAGTATACCCAAATTCCTCAACCATATTATCAACCTTCACCTGCCCCTTACCCAGTTTACACCACCCAACCTACGTATTGTCCACCTAGAGCACCTGCCTATCCAAATCCATCACGATACCAACCCGCATATCCAGCCCAATCCCACTACCAACCACAAAACCGTCCATCAAATGCACCCAGACCCCGCCCAAACTTTGAAAGAAGACCAGCCAAAACCTATACACCTTTAGCCGAACCTTTAGCCCAACTATATGAACGGTTGAGAACTGCAGGAGTACTCCAGCCAATCCAAGGACAAATTCCCAATCCCCTTCCTGGATGGTATGACGAGACCAAGCATTGTGCATATCACTCTGGAGCTGTTGGACATGACACTGAAAGTTGCCTCACTCTCAAAGACAAGATTGAGGCATTGATCAAAGAAGGAATCATTCAACTCAAAGGTGTTGCCCCCAATGTAAACAACAACCCACTACCAAATCATGGCAATGTTAACATGATCACCGTTGATGAAGATTGCAACTTGGAAGGGACCATAGTACCAGTCAAGATAGAGAAAAATGTCGAGACATCGGCTTTTATTTCTCCTGTAATCACAGTCCAAGCACGAGCGCCAATTGAAGTGGAAGTTTTTCTTCCCAAGCCTAGGATTATGGCCCTTGTCACTCAATCATCCCCTTTTGACACTAAAGCAGTTCCTTGGGATTACTCAACTGATGCAAGGGACAAAAGAAAAGAAAAGATAGTTGTAGAAGCTGCTGCTGCAGGAATGACAAGATCTGGGCGTTGTTATGCCCCTGAAGAAGTTGTACGAGGAGGACCAAACAAGGAAAACAACCAAAAAAGGTTGTGACAGAGGCTGAAGTGGAAGATTTCTGGAGAAAGATGCCAACTAGGGAATATTCAGTTGTTGAACAGCTGAAGAAAACTCTTGCTCAAATTTCCTTAATGGCCTTACTGATGAATTCTGCAACTCATAGGAACGCTTTGGTGAAGGTTTTAAATGAAGCTTATGTTCCAGCTGAGACCACTAGTGAGAACTTTTCTGCCATGGTAGGACAAGTTTTGGAAGCTAACAAAGTCACCTTTCATGAAGATGAGTTGTTGCCTGAAGGTTTGGGACATAACAAAGCGTTGAACATTACTGTCAGATGTAGGGATAAGTTTATTTCAAGAGTTCTGATTGATAATGGTTCAGCTGTTAACATATGCCCTTTCACTACTCTTCGAGCTTTGGGAATCGACATTGGAAAGATTCGTGAAAGTCATGTAAGGATTAGAGGCTTTGACGGGACACAAAGGGGAGTCATTGGAGAAATCGATTTGCCATTGCAAATTGGACCTGTGGAGTTCATTGTGGAATTCCAAGTGTTGGATATATCTGCTAGTTATAATTTATTACTTGGAAGGCCATGGATTCATATGGCTGGTGTGGTTCCTTCCACTTTGCACCAGACCTTGAAATTTGTTTAGAACCATCAGGAAATTGTTGTTCATTGAGAAGGTAACAACTCAATATATCCTGAAAATTCAGTCCCTGTTATTGAAAGTATGGAAGAGTTGGATGGGTCTGTATTCCATATTAGGGAAATTGTGTGTGCTACTCAAGTTGGAAAGGCAAATTTGCCACGTGTGCTTATGATGGTGGCTTGGGAGATGTTGAAAAATGGTTTTATCCCGGGTCAAGGTCTTGGAGCGAAATTGGATGGAATAGTGGAACCAATTCAATTGTCTAGTCAGAAATACACATTTGGTCTTGGATACGAGCCTACTCCTGAAGAAATCTCACCGGCTAATCTCAAAAGGAAAAGTGACATTCACTTACCACAACCTATCCCGCCCTTGAATCAGTCATTTTCCAAGGCGTTTGCTGCAGAAGGATTAGAAGAAGCTGTTGAAGATAACCTCACAGAAGGACTCAAAAACTTGTTCATTGAAGAAGCGGAATGCAATATGATTTTGGAGGACTGCACTGAGGCCCCGACCATATGTGATGCTATGCCTGGAGATGCTTTGAACAATTGGACTTGTAACCCGTCCCCGTTCCTCCAGGAATCTTGGTAGATGATTGTATTAGAATTAACAAAACAACATGATTCAAATTGAGGCCTGAATCGTGTTTTTGAATTTGATGTGTTTTGTCTCCATCTTTTGAAAGCTTAAATGTCAAATCTATGTTACTTTTTTTTTTCTTTCTGCTTTAAATTTTAAAATTTGTCCTTGATTATTTATTTTTATTTATTTCTTTTCTTCTTTCAGCAAGCAAACTAATAAATCTGTCAATGCCGAGAATGTGACATGTAATGAAACGAGCGAACAAACCTCAAACAGTGAACAAACTTTCGCAGAATATGAAGAAGATATACAGCCTGGAGAGTTGACTAAGGAGTTTGAACATTTTGAGAATAAAGAAAATCCAAATTTGGATGAAACTGAGACGATAAATTTGGGAGATTCAGCAGGATTGGTGAGGGAAACAAGAATTAGTGTCCATTTGACTCCGTCCCAAAGAAAAGAGCTCATTGATCTGTTGAGACAATACATGGATGTGTTTGCATGGTCTTATGATGATATGCCAGGTCTAAGCACGGATATTGTTTCACACTGGTTGCCAATTGATCCCTCTTGCCCCCCAGTAAAACAAAAGCCAAGAAAAATCAAGCCTGATTTGAGTTTAAAGGTTAAGGAAGAAGTCTCCAAGCAATTTGACGCCAATGTGATCCAGGTCACCAAGTATCCCACGTGGTTGGCCAACATAGTACCAGTGCCAAAGAAAGATGGAAAAATCAGAATATGCGTAGATTATCGAGATCTCAACAAGGCTAGTCCGAAGGATGATTTTTCTCTCCCAAATATTCACATACTTATTGATAATTGTGCAAAGCATGAGTTGCAATCATTTGTTAATTGTTTTGCAGGATATCATCAGATTCTAATGGATGAAGAAGATGCAGAGAAAACCGCATTCATCACGCCTTGGGGAGTATATTGTTACCGGGTAATGCCTTTTGGACTCAAAGGGCAACATATATGAGAGCTATGACTACCATATTTCATGATATGATCCACAAAGAGATTGAAGTCTATGTAGATGATGTCATCATCAAGTCACGGAAGAGTTCAGATCATATAACAGATTTGAAGAAGTTCTTTGACAGATTAAGGCGGTACAATCTGAAGTTAAATCCCGCGAAGTGTGTATTTGCAGTCCCTGCCGGGAAGCTGTTGGGTTTCATCGTGAGTAGGAAAGGGATAGAGCTGGATCCTTCAAAGATAAAGGCTATTCAAGACTTGCCTCCTCCAAAGAGTCGATTCATTAGTCGATTCATTGCACAATCCACTGTAATTTGCGAGCCAATCTTCAAGTTGCTGAGGAAAGATGTTGCAACAAAATGGACGAAAGATTGCCAAAAAGCTTTCGACAGAATCAAGGAGTATTTATCTAGTCAACCAGTCTTGGTGCCCCCAGAATCTGAAAGACCGTTGTTGTTCTATTTGTCAGTGTCTGACAATGCATTTGGATGTGTGCTGGGACAACATGACGAAACTGGAAAGAAGGAGCAAGCTATATACTACTTGAGCAAAAAGTTCACTCCTTATGAGGCTCGGTATACTTTATTGGAGCGCACTTGTTGTGCTTTGACTTGGGTTGCACAAAAGTTGAGACATTATTTATGTGCGTATACCACTTTTCTCATCTCAAGGATGGATCCACTCAAGTACATATTTCAGAAGCCTATGCCCGCTGGAAAGTTGGCGAAGTGGCAAATTTTGCTATGTGAATTCGACATTGTTTATGTCACTCAAAAGGTCATCAAGGGACAAGCGCTAGCTGATCATCTCGCTGAAAATCCCGTGGACGAAGAGTACAAGCCTCTTAAAACTTATTTCCCTGATGAAGAGGTTTTATTTATTGGAGAGGATATTTCCGAAGAATATCCCGGGTGGAGAATGTTTTTTGATGGTGCTGCGAATTCCAAAGGAGTCGGTGCTGGAGCAGTGTTGATTTCAGAATCAGGTCAACATTATCCTATCTCAACAAAGTTCAGATTCTTATGCACAAATATATGGCGGAGTACGAGGCTTGTATTCTTGGGCTTAGAATGGCTGTTGACATGAATATACAAGAATTGTTGGTTATAGGTGATTCTGACTTATTGATTCATCAGGTTCAAGGCGAATGGAGCACAAAGAATGTGAAGATACTCCCATATTTGTTGTGTGTGAAAGAATTGTGCAAGAAATTTGTCAAGATAGAATTCAAGCATATTCCACGAGCTCAGAACGAGTTTGCAGATGCGTTGGCAGCCCTGGCTTCTATGATTCAACATCCAGACAAGAACTATATAGATCCAATCAAGGTCAATGTGCAGGATCAACCAGCCTATTGTTTCCATGTAGATGAAGAACCGGATGGAGAACCTTGGTACTATGACATTAAGAGGTATCTCAGAGAAGGAGACTATCCAGAAGGAGTAAACAATGTTCAAAAGAGGACACTTCGGAGACTCGCAAATCACTTTTTCCTAAGTGGAGAAATCATTTATAGAAGGACTCTAGATTTGGGATTGTTAAGATGTGTTGACTCTCAAGAGGCAAGCAAGTTGATTGAAGAAATACATGGGGGTACATGTGGGCCACACATGAATGGTTTCACTTTGGCAAAGAAGATTCTACGAGCTGGATATTTTTGGATCATCATGGAAACAGATTGCATCCGTTTTGTGAGAAAGTGTCATCAATGTCAGATTCATGGTGATTTGATTCGGGTTCCACCGAATGAGCTAAATGTGACGAGTTCTCCTTGGCCATTTGCAGCTTGGGGCATGGATGTCATTGGCCCTATTGAGCCAGCCGCCTCAAATGGACATAGGTTCATTCTGGTAGCTATTGATTACTTCACAAAGTGGGTAGAAGCATCTTCATACAAGTCTGTGACAAAGAAGGTGGTGACAGATTTTGTTCGCAATAACATCATTTGTAGATTTGGGATCCCCGAGTCAATTATTACAGATAATGGAGCTAATCTCAATAGTGGCTTGATGCATGAGATATGTGAGAAGTTCAAAATTATTTATCGCAATTCCACTCCTTATCGACCTCAGATGAATGAAGCAGTTGAGGCCGCCAACAAAAATATCAAGAGGATATTGCGGAAAATGACTGATAACTACAAGCATTGGCATGAGAGTTTGTCCTTTGCCCTTCTTGGCTATCGCACCACAATCAGGACTTCGACTGGGGCAACACCTTATCTTTTGGTTTATGGAACCGAAGCAGTATTACCAATGGAAGTTGAGATACCATCTCTAAGGATCATCCAAGAAGCTGAGTTAAATGATGCCAAGTGGATGCAAAATCGGTATGAACAATTGATGCTCATTGATGAAAAAAGAATGAATGCAGTTTGTCACGGGCAACTTTATCAACACAGGATGGCCAAAGCTTTCAACAAGAAAGTAAGATTAAGACAGTTTGAACCAGGACAATTGGTGTTGAAACGAATATTCCCGCACCAAGATGAAGCTAAGGGAAAGTTTGCACCTAATTGGCAAGGACCTTACATAGTTCACCGAGTACTGACTGGAGGAGCTTTGATTCTAGCAGAAATGGATGGCAAGATATGGCCAAAAGCTATCAATGCAGATGCGATTAAGAGATGCTACATCTAGAGGTTTCTATTTCATTTTCTTGTAATATTTTTGTCATGTATTGGAACTACGTCTTGACCTGATTCCCATGGCGGGATACGTAGGAAATCCACATCGGATTTGGCCTTTATATAGGTTTTGCAAAATTTCTTTTCTATGTAATATGAACTACGCTTGGCCTGATACCCTTGGTGGGATACGTAGGCGGCCTATATCGGCTTCGGTCACTTTATTAGATTTTTTTTTCATTTTTCCATTTCTTTGTATGTAGCGAACTACGTATGGCCTGATTCCGTTTGGATACGTAGGCAACCCGATGAGGGGTCGGCCCATTTATTTCAATTTTTATTGTATCCTTAGGTTATGTTTGGCTTGGTGCCTTAATAGAATAGTGTGCAGCCTATAGAAGGTACGGTATTATCGTGACCAAAAGACAACGTATCTCTTTTGCCAAAACTGGGACAATTTTTAAGGGGCATCACTGCAAGAAGATATCAAGATATTTGAAGAGTATATGGTCAACCGAATCATCTGACAGAAGAAAGACTTCAGATAAAGGACGTTCGCTTTGTTTCATGACATGTCACAATTTGAAGTTCGACAAAATTCTTACTATATATACGTATATAATTTTATCTTATTTTCAAATATGATTTTCAATCAAATGTTTCCTTTTTTTTTTTTTATGTTATTCATTTAACCAAGATTTAGAATGGACGGAGGTTATAAGTCCAAGCAAAGATAGAAGAAAGAAGTATGAAGAGCCAGACCTTCCAAGTCAACGCAAATCAACTTCCCCCAAAACTTATAATATTTCTTTGAGTGCAGGTTTGTCAGGATTAACAGAAGTGGAGAAGTCAATAACATCTATAGCATCGAAAGGACTATATGTCGAGTGGTTTGAACTACTCACTTATAAATTTATGACTCGAAAACTTATAAGTAAAGCTTTATAAATTTTCAAATGTGTTGATAGCAAATACTATTTAATAAAACATTGCACATGATTTTGCTCTACATAAATGCCTTTAAATGCACTGCACTCCAAGCGCACTGCACATTTGCTTCGAGATATATTTCAAAAGCACCGCACAAATGCTTTCAGATTTTTCGCATGCATGCTTTCAAATACTTTATATGCACTGCACAAATGCTTTCAGATATTTTCAAATGCACCGCACATATGCATATTTCCAAATGCACTGCACAAATGCCTTCAATTATTTTCAAACGCACTGCACAAATGCTTCTGAATATTTTCAAATGCACAAATACTTTCAAGTATTTTAAAAAAGGAATCCCACATTGCTTTATCGCTTTTCTAATGCATTGCACAAATGTTTTCAGTTGATTGCACATATGTTTTCAAATATTACTTACTAGTCTGCATTGCTTTCAATGACCTCCTTTTCACAAATCACCTGACTTAAAAAGTCTCATTTTTAAATCATTTGGCTAAAAGCCTCATATACATAATTTATTTGGTTAAGGCCTCATTTTCATTAATCATCGCTAAGAAGCATCATTTCTCATGAATCATCGGCCTTAAAACCGTTTTCATAAATTTTGCAAGATTTCATCTCATTAAGTCATTTCGGCTTGCAAGGCCGCATTTTCATAAATTCACACCCAGGAGGTGTTATTTCCATATGTTTATCGCACCATGCTTTTTGTTTAATATTATTAACTATTTTGTCAAGTTTGAGTTCTGCAGGAGTTTTAGCACAACATGGAACTTTATCTAAGCAGTGAATTGGGGCAATTTGTTGAGAAAGTTCAGCTTTCCAACAAAGGTCAAAGGTCTACCTCGAACTATACTAGACTCCAATCTTGAATACTCCCCTAGATCACAATACCAATAACATCATAGTTTAATACTGGGGCGACTTTTTTAAGCTTGCGACTACCTTGTTTTCAAATCCTATATCTCATCAGTTATACAATGTTCATATTGTCTCATACTCTCTCAAGGTCTTATTTGTTGGTCGGGACAAAATTGGCTATTACGTCAACTTCTTTGCCCAAAAACTCTTACATCGTCTCTGGTCAAAGAGGGACAAGCTGTTGACACCCAATTTTGACCCTCCTTTCTTCTAATTTATTGTTTTCGAGCTTCTAATTTGATAGCATATAAAATAATCCTTTTTCACAACTATTTTTACTATTACAACTATTTATCTATTTAAAATTATACGTTTATTGTTGAGATGATTGTTATCACTTTCTATACCTCTTTTCTTAAATAATCAATTGTCGTCATCTTATTTCTAGTTTCGTATTTATTAAATTAATTTAAGTCAATATTTTGCACATATATTTTATATTAGCGATGTTTTATTACGTAAATTATTAGTTGTCATCTTAGGGTATATTTTATATTAATTATAAAGTAAGAAGCCCAAAATAATTTAAAAGAAGAAAGGAAAAGGCTAAGAAATTCGGCCCAAAACCCCTCAAATTAGCCCAAACCATCTTTCAACCCATATAATTTCCTTCTAAATATCTCTGAAAAGCCCATTATCCCCTGGGAAATATAATTTCAAAATTTTCAACCCAGTAGTCGTGTCTTGTCTTGTCTTGTCTCTCTTCCACCTTCCATTTTTAGAAAAAACAACAAAAACTTGTCAGCCATGGACATGGCTCAACTGCTCTATTTTCATGTCAATCACGCAACGTTCAAAAATTCAAACGGGTGTCTTGACTAGAGTTTAGAAAAATCCCGCTCAAAATCGCTAACCCTATCACTTCTTCTCCTATAAATAAGCAGTCTTGACATTCATATTGGGGCAGATTTTTCAGCCTCCATGAAAGCCTTGGCAACATCCATTTTTAGAAGCCTTTTCATGTCCCCATATCACTATTTTAACTACTATTTTCTTCTCTAAAATATTGCCTTTACATCCTTTTTCGATCTCGACCGAAACTCAAGTTTCAAGCTTGTTCGAGTTTGTCATTGTTCGAATATAGACACTTGATCGCAGCAGCCCCGTTCACTGCTCTGCAACAGGTGATCTTCGTCCCTTTACTTTTACTTCTATTATTGTCTTCGTGAAAATGTTATGCCTATTGTAAGAAAACCACGCGTCAAGTATAATACTCACTTATTTTTAGCTATCATGAAAGTGATGTTTAAAAAATATGTTTCTTTTTATTTAGTTTGAGGCCTGGAGAGATTTGAGTTCATATTTCCTTCACATTTTAATTTAAAGAATGATTTTGTTTTGGAAGGGGCTGGTGATATGTAATCTGTTTTTTTTTTGGTTCAAAGTTTGGTATTTATTTGTATCTCTATGTGATAAACCGATATTGTTTTCGCTATTCTTTATATTTTAAGATTATTATGTTGTGTTGAGAATCATGTCATAGATATATCTATTTGTTTGTTTTATATGCAGAGAAATTGAATACAAACTTGCCGCATTTATTAGTAATCTTGGTATTTATAAGCTGTAGCCTTATTTATGCTTAAACTTGCCAATGAATTTTAAATTGATAAAAAGCAAAATCCTTGCGCTAAAGTTTATTGCTATATGTATTTTTATTTTTTATTTTTTCTCAACAGTATGTATTAAAATACATTTTGGAAAAGAAAACTTGCTTATTGGATTTAGATTTGGTTCTAATTTGACTTGTGAATGCTACTTTATAAATATATATATAGTTCGAGCTTTAGTTTCTTCTTACATTACATATTTGAACCAAAATGTGTTATATATACATTGAACTCAATAATATTACCTAGAGTCTTTCTATAATTGATTAAATAGGCCTTAGACATTAAATAGATATATTTGTTTATATATTGCATCCATGTGAAGCTATTCTTTCTTGTTTAATATGTTGTGATGATTGCTATCCTTTAATGAGAATGGTATTGGTTTAATTTAAAGGCTTTGAGATATTTATTCACTGTAAGCATGCTTGTAAATATTAGTTAAAGAAATTTTATTTTCTTCCTATAGAAGAATGTATAAGTTAGTTGGGCGTTACAGTTTATTTCATACTTACTATTAAGGTACTTATATTGGAATTGAATAAATAGAATGTATATTTGTTTCACCTATTAGTTACCTGCATGTCTAATCCTTTCTTATTGTTGTACATGTACACTTTGGGAGGAAAAAACGGAGTTTCGATTAGGACTCTACCAATTATCGAGTCTCATAGACTCAACATTATCCTCACACTCGCACATGGAGTCTTCACTATATCTTTGACCATTCGAAATTGCAAGCAAAACAAGTGGTCCTATCTTGGAGTCACTTATGGCTACTTACATTTTGCATTATTTGTTTACGTGTTTGTCTTTACATGTTATACTTGCTTGTGTGATTTAGATATTTCTAGTTTGGATTCATGATAGTTGACTTAATATAGGTATTTGGATTTGGGTTCCTTTAGTTAGAAACAAATCGTATTAGTTACTTTAGCTTTTACGAGCTTCATTTGGCAAACTTTTTTTAAAAAAAAAAAAACACTTCTTTTTGCACCACTTTAAACTCACTAATTTATTAAGTTTTGTTCACACTTTGATATGTCTTTCAAATAATAATAATAATAATATATGTTTGTTCTAAATTCTTATTTTTCTAAATCTTTTTCTAAAGGGAGCACCTTGTTAGTCAATGAGCAATTGTCTATTTTTTTTATTACTTATTTTCAGTCATGGATTTATCTAATTTGATCCAAAGAAATTACTCTTTCTTAAAAAAAAAAAATTACAATTGTAAAAAGAGCTTTGAAATAAACAATGTTTTACAACTTGGTTACTCAATTACTTAATCTTTAGCATTCATATCTTCTTTTTAAAATTAATTAACCTAAGTTTGGTCGGTAATCGTATTTTTAACGAATCTTAAAGGATGCCTTATCCCTTCCCTTTAGGATAAATTAGAACTCTTACCTAAAATCTTTTTAAGTTGGTAGACCTTAATTGAAGTCAATTTTGGCATTACTTAGTTGAATATTTAGATGTCCTAATTCACCATAATTAATTCGGTGGCGACTTCTTAAGTTAGTTA